AGATTTGCATTTCTGTTAATTTTGGTTTCGTTTCTTCAGCATGTTTTAAGCAGCAGGTTAACCGCTTAGAAAAAATGCATCTGTGAACTATGGGAGTGGCATTAGCTAAGAGAATTTGCAGTGCATCACGTGCAGTGAAGCAGATGGACTCTACGGATGAGTTAACAGTGACTCATGAAATTGTCTTAAATAATGGATTTTTTTTTTTCCCCCTAAATAGCTTAAAACCCCATATGTTTTGGGGAGGAGAGCTCCAACAGCTACTCTTGCAGAGCGTGGGGTATTCGGTAAGGTCTACAGAGCAGCAGCTCTAGCCTTGCCGAGGGGTAAGCATCCTTCTTGCATGTTTAACTCATGCTACACTTTATAACAAAGATGAACAAGGAAACAGACCCCCGCAAAAATACTAATCCCACACCATACTGTGAGAAGAGTCACAGTCCACCCTGCACTTTCTATCTCTGTTTTGGGCTCTTATTGCCTGCAAAACTTGAGCGGCTTCCAGTTTAGTCATTTCCCCTTATCAGGGAATTCAGATGAAATTACATTCCTACCGGAGGCTTTTAGAGGTATATAGGAGTCCTGTTTGCCTTTACAGGAGATGTATTTTTCTGGCATGTTTTCTTTTTTTTTCCAGCCAGTTGGTGGTCATCTGCTCAATTCCAGTGTCCACAACCCCTTCAGATTTTCACTGCAGATGTGTCTCTGAAAATGAGAATTTTGTCATCTTGCTCCCCAGTTACCCAACCTTTTCTCAGGAGAGCAGAGACAAGGTGGGGAGAAAAGCAGGGCGAGCCCCCTCTCCACAAAGCTTATTAAGTACTTAACCAGCTTCCCATTATCAGGAAGGGGGGATCCATCTGAGACCAAATCTTTGCTAAGTTGGGCAGCAAGAACTGTACCTAAAGCTAATGTTCTAAAAAAACTGGTAGCTGCCTGTTTTTAACTATCCCCCAGAAGAGTTGTCTGGATAAGGATCAATACTCGGGAGATGAGCAAGCTACTGCTTACCTGTGCCTACAGCCTCCAACAGCTACCAGCACCTGGCTGTGTTCACTGATGATCTCTGCACCAAAACACTTGCTAAAGAGAGAAAACAAACAACAAAACAAAGGGGGCAGCTGGACCCCCGAGCAAGGGCACAGAGGAAGAAACAGAGCCCTCATCCTGCCCAGCTGCAATGGGGGAAAGGGGAGGGATAGATGCATCGCACCTGGATGGGGTGCGGAGGAGGCACGGAGCTCTCCTGGGGGACCTGGCACACATCCCCTTTTGCATGGGGTATTCTCTGCCCCAATGTCTAAGCTTCAGCCATTGCAGCCCCCTCCTCTCCCACACGACCCCCTATTTCTTCCGTACGTCCCTAGCTTCAGCCCACTGCTCGGCAAGCTGTCCTCTTCTAGGGCACGCCGAGGCCCTGTTAGCAGGGTGGTCTCCTTTGGGGGTCTCCTGGCAGCCTTTGCTACCGAGGTGCTGGTGAGGTGAGCAGGTGACACAACTCCCCTTTTAAAGGTTTGTGGAATTATTTTGGCATTAAATCAGTGCCGGTGGAGTGCACCCCCACCAGTGCCCTTTTAGGATCATAAATGGCTCTGGTTAGGTCAGAGCTGCCAGGTCACATTCACCAGAAAGTAATAATGAAAAAACCATACAAGGATTTCCACCATTTTACTTGGCTCATAAGGGTCACAATCATCCAAACTGTACTTGTCAGGGTGCCCAGCAACCTTGGCGCAGAGCTGCTGAAGCAGAAATAGCTGCCCGACCGCCTCCAAATCCAGCCTCAGAGCAACCTCCAGCGGCAGCGAGCTGCTCCGGCAGACACGACACTGCTGCTCGCCCCGGGGAACCCCAGTGCACCTCTTCCACCACAGAGCAACGCTGGCCCTCTGTCCAGAGACGTACATGCAGAAATAACGTAAGACCACTACCACTTCCATTAAGGCACCGGGATAAAAATCTGCTTTCAAAAAATTAAATTGTCAGTACTTCCCCTTGACTCATCTAACAGCCAAGATGCGCTTCTGGCACAAAACCAAACCTGTCATCCACCGAAGACCCAATTAAAAAGAAAAAAAAAAGGCACAGTTATTAGTTTAAAATTTTGTGTGAACTTTTTGCTGGTGACTGGGGAAGCCACATGCTCGTTGCGATTCAAGAATCAGCGATACTGCAGCACATGTGTTACTAAGCACAAACCGAAGGATCTTTGCTATGTGGAAATGGAATTAACCAAGCACATATTTAGCTTTGCAGTACATAAAGTGCTTTATTGAGTCAAAGTCTGAACCACAATCCACCAACATCAATGAAAGATCTTCTGAGGACTTTGGGTTGACTCACGGAAAGCCATCTCTGCTCGTCTGTTACGATGACAGCCACATGTGCTCCTGGAAAAACAGCTTACAGCAGCAATCCACAGGGTATCGTCCCATCCCATGTAGGTCTTTTTTATTGTCTCATCTCACATACTAAGTTTTGTGGAATATAGCTTGGTTCAGCCTACCCCAATCAAGCAGCAGCTTTTACCAGTGGGATGTACACACTCTGCAATCCAGTTTCACAGGCACATCGCATGCAATAGGAGGAATTAGTTATAATAAGCAAAATCAACACCACGAAAGGTAATCAACATTTTATTTATAAACATACATTTACTATAAAAGCTGTTGCATTTTAGACAAGTTTTCCTAATTTCCAGAGGCATTTTAGAATAAATAAAGGAAAGATTAGCATAATTGGTACTCAACATTAGCCCCAGCTAGGACAGCAATCCTTGCCCTTGAATGGACATGCAGATAAGGATGGTCCCCTTCTGGTTCACCAACCTTTAGGACATTCACCAAGAACTACAGATGTACTGCATCAGTAACACTACATAGCAAGAGTAAGGAAAAAATACACCATGGAAAATGGGGTTGTGAAATACAGATGGGTTATGACATCTGTTCGGGTTCTCTGAAGTAGTAAGAGGCTAAATAAATTCTGAAACATCTAAAACCCATTACATACATTGTACTTGCTTAGCAATAATAAATCATTTTTTGCAACAAATACATTTACATTGTAATTCAATTGTAGTAATGCGTTATTTTTTTCTGTGCTCAAAGTTCCTGATAAGAAATGTATCATATTTATGTGCTTAAACTGAAGGGGAAAAAAAAAAAAAGAGAAAAGAAAAAGGACAAAAAAAGGATCTTAGCCTGAATGAATTTGTCATGTAAGACTCCAAAGGAAATATAAAACCAAACATAAGCAGTTGGCAAGTACAATTCGGAAAACTGTTGAAAATTATTCTGGGCTGGTGAATAGATGTTCACAGGGGTGAAAAAATCGTCGTCTGAGAAAGCTGCTTCATTTTGCTGTACATACAATCAAACTTGCCTAAAACATGCATATAAGAAACTAACTGATAGACACTGGGATCAATTTCTAAGCAGCTTCAGAGATCCAGTGGTGTGTCTGCAGCGCGATGCATACCCCCACCCCAGCCCTTGCCCATGCATTTTAGTCCCAACCACTACCCCTACGCGAATGAGAAGCAGATCTGAGCTCTGTGACAACCAACCCCTTTTATACACTTGGGGACTGATTTGCACTTCTAAACTCTATCACATGGGCGAAGCAGTGGTAGTGACTCATACCAAATAGATGCACAAGCATGCACGGTCTTGTTTAAAAATCACGCCCAGACATCATATATTCACATATCCTTAATGCAGCGCATGGAATTACACAGATGTACAAAGTCGGTTGTAAAAAGGTGCTTCTTGAATTTCCATCTTGCGCATTATTTGCTGGAAAAAGTTATGATGACCACATGCAAAGTGTAAGCATCCTGGTTATCAAAACCCTTTAACAGTAAATCATGCAGATGGTTAATCAAAATATTGGACATCACTTTTATTTCCAAAACATTTTTCTGATTTTTTTTTTTTCTTTAAAAATACTCCCCAGGTGAAGTCCACAAAGGACTTCAGCTTTTTGGATTTATTGCATCCATAAGTCATCGCTGACTGTGTGCAACAGCTTTGCATTTTCTAAGGCACAATTTTAAGGAAGTAACATGTAACTTTCCAGCAGATAGTCACAATGTCCTCCAATGATAACATCGTACACGGGTTTTCAATGACACGCAGTTTTGCATGGGTACGCAACTCACATGCAAGCAACTGTCTAGTGTTTAAATAAATAGCTGCTAGCTATCGAACAACTCAAAATTATTGCTTCCCTAATAACCACTTCATTTCCATTTACCAACACATCAAAAGACAATGGATATGCACATAGATAAAATAAATCTCTATTAATTTTGTTTTATCACGGTTTTAAGGCAAAATAAGTAGATTTTTTTCCTCCATTTTAAGTTGCACCGTGAACTGCTAAAATGGGATATTTCCAATAACTGTTTATCAAAAAGTGCTAGGATATTTTACAATTGCAACACATCCCCTAACCTTGTCTGTGTATTGTAGATAAAGTGACGCAGCTCTGACCCCTGTTTCAACGAGCTGCTGGATCACTTTAGTAAGGAGCACATGCTTAATCAAAAAGCACAAAGGAAAACTGGCCCGAACACAGGCAAGTTAAAGTCTTTTGCCTACTGCTGCTAGCTTCCTCCCTGCCCACCTTCCGCACTCCCAGGTCTTGCTGACTTTATTAGGGTGGTGTATGGAGGAACACAGGCTCAAGGCTGTTTAATTCCCTGCTCTGGAGGGCACCCAAACCACGTGTTTCTCCGCATGAGATCTCAATCAACTGCAATGTTTGCAAGTGAACGCGCAGATCTCAGACCATCAATGGGCAAGTTACACGCCGAAGAGAAAAGCTTTGCCCTAGCATCAAACCGCAGCTTGGAGACTCACGATTCAGCTGTGTCCGCCCACGCAGCCGCCTCGCCCCCACATCACCTTCATCAGGTTTAATAACAACACAGGCTGCTGAACTTAGTAAGAAGGATTGCTCCTAATGGGAATCTTGCCATCGTTAACGGTATACAGTCTTTAGGTTTAATGAAGAAATCTTTATTGGAGAGAATATTAAGCTATAATCATGAACATTACTTGAGGTACACAAACAACATATCCTATCACTAAAGGTGCAATAATTTATTTGTATAACTCCTACCCTCCACTGAAGGTAATATAAACACAAAATGCTTCAGAATTACAGGATGTATTATCAAACTAGTCTCTGTATAAAAAAAGTTATAGCTTCAGTTATAACAGAGAAGTCATGCTGTGATGTTTAGTTTTTCAAATGCACAGATTAGATACTATCTTAAAATTACTTCTCAGCTCAAGTTGGCATATTCTATAAAGGTTCTGTAAACTTAAACTTTTTAATTCCTAGAAATATTAAAACAAAACAGCTTTATTGCATGTTTATTTTCTTATTACTTTCAAAAGAACAAGGTAACAGACTGGAAATCTTAAACATACCTGAAAGGTGGGATTTTTTTTTTAATAGTACTTAGGCTTTGCCTTCCCAAACATGGTCATACATATTTTGCAAATTTCTTAAGAAAGGGAAAAACCAACATATTGCATTTAAAGGAGCAGGTGCAGCGTTTTTATGAGTTTTTCAAAATGAGATGAGAGCCATGATGTCCATGGATTCAAGCTCTTACAAGTGATTGTCTGGAGGCAGCCGATACATATGAGAAGAGAGTTCCTTCTTGAAGGTTATTAGGACTGAAAATCATGTCACAATGTAGTTGGCTGTCCAGCCGCTGGATAAAACAAAATGACACCAAGTCATTAGTTGACAAGTTTTAACAAACATACATAGGCTTTTCCTCATCTTATCTCTACAGTTCAAGCAACTGCATCTGGAAATATGTATCATTTGTGCCCTGCTTCTCTTTCTTCCTGCAAAGCTGGGGCACTAACTGCAAAGAAGGATGCAGCATAACTCCAGTGGAAATGTATTTTGCCGTGCCACATGGACAAATGCATTCTGCATGCAGTTCTATTTCATTTTACTCCCAAAGTACTTGTGGGTATATTTACTTTCAGGCTTTGCAATGGCAAAACAGTAAAGCAAAGGACTGATGAGTTATCTGTAGCCGTGCCTGGTTTGTGTTACGTGGTAGTACAGAGCCCTTGTGTTATTTGGCCATACAAGGAATCTCATGAATTTACTTCTTGCCTTTGACTTCGACACTAACAAACCTATAACTATCCCCTGTGTTTGACATTGAATACCAAGTTCCCTTCTTTGTGAGGTTTTGTTGTAGAGAAATAACCTATCAATAAAACACCATCCACTTTTATTTGAAAAATCCGAAATATTTTGGACCCTGGACCACTACATAATCTTTAATGCTTTTCTCTCTTAAAGTTTTTGATAATTTATTTTGAAACAGAATCACCCACAGTTTCAAATAAGCTTCTGGCAGCCAAAATATTTCAACGAGATGCCCATAAGCATCTCAAAACAATACTATTAATTCTGGGTTGGCCAGAGACAGTCAGTTGTGCGCACTGCTGTGCAGGTTTTCAGATGTAGCCGTCGGGGAGGAATGCACGAGCTGTGCAATCAGGCAACTGATTTTATATTTAGCATCAGACTTCCCAGAACTGAAAGGCAAAACGCTAACATTGCATCAGTTTGTTCTTCATTTCAGATGTGGAGTCCGTCAAATTCTAGTTAAAAATGAGCAACTAACCATATTTGCAGTTCTATCAAAATGAGTCCCTTTGAAGCTGTCAGCAAGAGCCCGTGTAACTTAAATTCAACTAACTCATATTTTGAGATTTTGCATGAGGACTGGACACAGCAGGAAAAGGCAATTTGTAGGAAAAAAGACAAACCTTTGCCGTTATTATTCTTCAGGAACTATACATTTCCTCAAAACCTATTCCCTCTGTCATGGACCTGGTTACTGTTGTGCTAGGTATGTACAAATGCAAAACCTTACTGCATAAAACACGGTACACAGCTCTGTACTGCTTTTTCTAGCACTGCTGCGGTATAAATGATGATGGAGGGGGTGATTTCTACAGTATATAAGCTGATAAATAATTTATTTGAGCCTTCATCTGTCCTTAAGGGACCTCAATTTTTATTTAAGCAAAACAGATTAAGAAGAAAAGGAAAATATTACTTTTATCACCTTCCTCTCTTTTTTGTGTAAAGATGGATGTGCAAATGTGCGTTTTAAGGGTCAGGACCTCATCCACATGAGGAAGGTTTATAGTATCAACCCTGAAGGGGAAAAGCTATTTCTGAATGTGTCAGGTTAAATAAATAATAATAAAAAGTTGCTAACATTTCTTAGCAGAATTTAAAAAAATATCACCAAACAAACGGTTATACAATAGCACCCTCTAGCTCTGCCGATGGGGAAATATCTCTCCTGAAACATCAGAGAAAAAAAATACCTATTCTTCTGCTGGCAAAGGTAGGTAGGTACCTTTCCTACTCCTGGATTTCTACAGCCACTGTTTGTGAGAGAGAAGGGAAAAAGTAAGTGAAAAGAGCTCTGTATCTCCACTTATCAGTTAGGAGTGTAGGCAGTGACTATACTGAACAGTAACATGTATCAGGAAGGCAACAATTACACCCATGGTTTTTTTCTGTGTCTTACTGTTTTCCACAAAGCAGAAAGCCAGCATGAGCACTGCTCATCCCATATCACTGGTGACATCGGGGTGAAGCTGAAATGCTCTAGCAATTTGGTATCAGTCACTGAAATCCAGGACTAGGAAGGACATTCAAGTGACCTGCTCTAAGGCAGAAAAATGCATCAAGTATTTTTCTGACAGACATGTAATTGTCTGGCTCATTCTTCAAAACTTGCAGCAAGCAACACATTAGCACACATCTGGGGATACCACCACAAGGATTCATTATGAGTTACAGAATGTTCCTGATATTTTCCTTGACCATTTTGTCTGCAAATGGAGGCCTGGAGACATAAGAAACGGGAACTTCTCCAAACAAGGCTCAGGGTCCTAGACCTAGTAGAAGTATCTACATCGTCTCATGTGATGTGACAGATCCAAGCCTTCAGGATATGCAATGTGTATGCACAGTGTAGGAGTTTATATTTATGCACAAAACCAGCCTTTAAGTCTAATATTGCTGAGCAGAGATCCTCTGGGCAAGGTTTAATGGGCTTGGAAACCTTTTTCGACACAAGAGGATGATTAAAATAGCATGGGAAGGCTCCCCTTCCCATGGCAAAGCTCTGCCTGAGTGGCAAAGCCATTTGGGCATGTCGTGGTTTAGCCCCAGCCAGCAACTAAGCACCACGCAGCCGCTCGCTCACTCCCCCTACCCCGGTGGGATGGGGGAGAGAATCGGAGGAGTAAGAGGGAGAAATACTCCTGGGTTGAGATAAGAACAGTTTAATAATTGAAATAAAGTAAAATAGTAATGATAATAATAACAATATAATAATGATGATAATAATAATATACAAAGCAAGTGATGCACAATGCAATTGCTCACCACCTGCTGACCGATACCCAGACAGCTCCCGAGCAGCGATCGCTGCTCCCCGGCCAACCCCCCCCAGTTTATATACTGAACATGACGTCATATGGTATGGAATAGCCCTTTGGGCAGTTTGGATCAACTATTCTGGCTGTGCCCCCTCCCAGCTTCTTGTGTGCCTGGCAGAGCATGGGAAGCTGAAAAGTCCTTGACTAACATAAGCAGTACTCAGCAACAACTAAAACATCAGTGTGTTATCAGCATTCTTCTCCTACTAAATCCAAAACTCAGCAGTATGCCTGCTACTAGGAAGAAAATTAACTCTATCCCAGCCCAAACCAGGACAGGGCATAAGGGAGAACACATTTTTTCCAGGAGGAGAAAAACTCATCAGTTAAAATAATGGCGACTACTGTTAGAGTTCACTGTCCTTTGGACAGGATTTGGTACTTACTTCTGGATCGGATATAACAATCGTTGCAGTTAAGAAGACCATTTCTAATCCTGACATCTGTCCCACTTGCTGCGTCTCCTAGCTGCCCCTTGCAAATGCCACACTGTCAATTGAAGAACAGAGAAAGTAAGAGAGACCATGCCCTACTATCTGTCACAACTCTCCCTGAATTTTGACTTTTGTTTCAACAGTTCTTGGAACAGTGAGAAGAAATATAAACCCCAGAACCCAGCCCATACTCCTAGGGAGCACTGCAAATCAGCGAAAGGCTTATTTTAGACCCAACAGTATTTAGGACTGGACTTCAGCCATCTCCACTTATGCAGAAGTGAAGTCTAGTGATTTTAAGGGACATCTGATTTTGATGTTGCATTCTGGAGCCAGCCCACTTGTTCTGGACAAAGCTTAGAGAGGCCAGAGGTTTCGTTTGGGTAAATGTCTAAAACCAAAAAAGGCTTAATGAATGTCTAAAATCGACTGGGCCAAAGATAATAGAAATGGACACTTTCTGAGTTCTCTGGAAAACACTATCTGCAGACACTCAAGAACAGTCATGAAGTATTTTTGTTGAGAGCTCTGATGAAAGGCTGAAGACACCACCCATTCCATAGTCAAAGCTTTCCAACCATGGCTCAGACCAAAGATGGCTCTGGGACTGACCGGGTTTTTGAAAAAAAATCACAGGGTAACTAATTTTATATTTAAATCAATGAGTACAACTGGGAAATTATATGATACTTCCCTTTGTAAGTGAGGAAGCTAAATTTGCTTGCTAAATCACAGATTTTAATTAACAATTAGCATGTCTGACAACAAAATAACACATTAGCTGCATTACTTCCACTACACCTACAAACACACACACACACAAATAAACAACATAACAAACGTGAATCCTTTGGTCCTCTAATTTTCAGTTTCACATCTACAGCCCTCAACATACTCTCTCCTCACACTGTGCATGACTTGAGATTTTTCTTAACATAGCAAGAGACATACCCTGAAGCACTGAATATGGAAATAAAGACCAAGTGTTTCAATAATCATGGCAGCTCCTTTTCCAAGAGGAAGCCCACAGGTAGAACAGAGCTTCTTTCCGCTGACAGACCTAGGAGACAAACATGACTTTAAGAAAACAGAACAGCAACTGATGCTAAAACATAGCCAAATGTTTACACAGGCTTCTGGAGAGGGACAAGATGGGAGGAAGGAGCGTTGGGGAGTGTCACATAAATACACATTGACTCTTCAACTATGTTGCTGATCAGCCTGCATGTCTGCCTCGCAGACAAGCAAGCAGAGGACTTAAAATGCTTGAACGCACAGCAGCTCGGATCCCTTTCCCTGCCAGTCTGTTGTACTAGATCAAGGGAGATGCAAGCCTCTTAACACAGACCCAGATGGCAGGGAACCATGCCTGTGGATTACCTAGACCCAGTCAAAGCCACAGCAATCAAAGCAGATATTCACACAAATTACCCGAGTCAGACTCTCAGCCTGGAAATTTTTCAATTTGTTTGCAAATGGGTTTGCTTACTGCAAGTCAGAAGGCAGGGATGCTGCTCTTACACCCGAATAAGCTGGCAAAGTCAACAGTAGCAGTGTAAATGCAGTAGCACAGACCAGGCATCAGGCACTTGCTAACTAATTTTAGTTTATGCTGCTGCAGCTACATGCCTGTTAGTACTCCAACTAGTTAGAGTAAAGCTGAAATCAGATCTCCATCTGCAATGCAAAAATACTTCAACTCTCTCCTTAAGCTTCACTCCTGTCTAGACCTTTCTAGTAAATCAGCTGTTTGATGACAGCTGGGTGAGGGATCAGAGCCCAAGGAATAGCTGGTACCCTTTTTCATAATGGTTTTAATGGCAGTGCAGGTGCACGCTTCTATGTGTTTCACGCT